ATTCTCTCGAGATTTTCCGTCGAAATTAAAACCATTTTTTTGGCCCTCTCCATAACGTTTTATCCCACTATTTCGTTCCTTCGATAATTAGCGATAATAAGGTCGATAATATAGGACCGATAATATAAGGTAAAAATCCGCCTCGCTGCACCAACAGCTTTCTTTTATCCTTCCAATTACCACGTTTTGCAACGATACGACGTAGAGGCGTTTTGAATTTGGTTAGCCGATTTTTTTCACAACGTTCGAGCGAGACGTTACCTTTGAGTGTATTAAAAACACATTCACAGATACAACGAATAAGTTTTTCGTCCGCGGCGCGTAGGAGGGTCGTGCGTTGATTTTTGTTCAGATGATAGAGGGCCGCGAGAAGACAGGCGTTTCTTTTACCGATCGAATGTGTGGCGATTTTCGTCGCACTGTGCGATTTCTCGTCACTCGTCTTCATCGCGAGAAAAACATACGACTGACTGGTACTATCACACGTGTTCGTCTTTTATACGAATCCGTTCGAAAATGATCTACGTGACACGTAGACGTAATGAGTCGTATCTTCGGTAAAAATACACGCTCGAAATCGATACTCGTCCGGGGTTGATTGTTTCAGATCGAGCAGCAAATAGCCGTGAGACCTCGACGTAGCGTCGTAGTATGCCTCTTCTAGAAATTTCGGATCGTCGGGATATACTTGACGCGCTAAATGACGAATTTGAGCGCGATCACGTGGATTATTGAAAACTACGATGTAATTCGCATTGAGAGATATATCACGCTGTCCACAGCCCTGATGGAAGAGATTCTACGAGATAAGAATAACATAAGAATTAATCTGACGGGAAGCTATTGCCCGTCAGATTAAGAAATCAGGTTGCAAGTGTCAGCAATGACCACATTAAAAATGAGAGAAACCGAAATCCGCTCGAACAGCTAACCGAAGTGCAAGTCCAGTCAGCAGTTCGAGCAAGTATATTAACCGTGACATACTGGCAAAGAAGGAGAGTCTATTATCAGTTGTTATCCAAGACAACGCCGTACGCCAACAGCTCACGCGTATAAAATATAAGTCGACCGATTAATAAAGTCAACACGAACGCGAACTTATCTTATAACCAAAATCGGGCCGACGCGAAATCGCAATAGTACATGTCAAGTGTAACACATAATATTTAATTGTGATCTTGTAAGAATTTACTAAAGTTATTAAAGTGTTATTTTGTATTGAGTGGTTTATTTGTGCGTCCTGGTCCTCGGCGAATCCCCTACCCGTATCCTTCACCCAAGGGTACAACAAAATTGGTGGCAGCGGTGGGATTGCCAAAAGAAAGGACAAACAGACGGGCTTGTCAAAAACACGGACAACCAGGGCGATTCGCTCCAGAAAAGGACAACCCACAAGAATTGCCAAACACGGACCATAACGGAGAGAAAACCTAAAGCGACTACTCCAAGGATCCAGGCACTGAGGACTACCAACCGAGTAAGCCAATCATATAATCTAAAACACAAAAAACAATTTGGGTATGCTTTGTGAATAAGCAACGTGTTCACACAAGAGAAGCACATTTAAATACGCAAAGAATAAAAGCGAATACTAGCTGAAAAGAGACGCTGTGAATCGTCTCATAAGCCCTGAAAAATCAGGCGGACGGACGATAACCGTCAGAAAACAAGAACGTCAGACAGCCAGCACAGCTGACTGATAACGCACACTGGTCATCGTCCCGCTGACATTCGACCGGTGCAGCCAAGCTGTAGGACGTAAAGGAACATTGCCGCATCGTTAGGACTACGTCACGAGCCATCGCCGCAACACAACAACGAGACTACGAGGCATCGACGTCACGAGCCGCCAACACAACGTCACATCGCTCACCGACGCAGCCGAATCATCACAAACGCTGACATGCAACTCTACATGCTCATTGTAATGTAAGTCAAAGACATTTTAACCTACCTGCGAGCGAATAACCTGCGTACGAAATTACGTAACTATGCGAATAAATTAAACACTCCGCGAGTAAATAAAACCGCGAGAAAAATTTTTTAACTTACTAAAAGCGAATGACCGAAAATAGGAATTCGGAACCGCGAGTAAATGACAGTCAAAGCGAATTACCATTACGCGAACCTCCGTCATTAGGAACAGCGGAAGACGCGTTACGCGAAATCATTACCAATATAAATAGGGCATTAGATTTCTCGGACAGCGACTCTCAATCGACACCTACTAATGTGACAATAACACGAAACTTCACACTTGACATAAACGACTACAGTCTCCTTGAAAGAAACATGGAAAACTCT